CGGGACTCTGGCGACGTACTCTGTACGTCGTCAGTCACGAAGGGGTTAATATGCTGACATCTTCCAATAACCTAAGCCCTCATTAAGCCTGCATTCACACCTAGACGTCAGCCTTTCCGCCAAGCGTAGTTTTTGCCCATTTTTACCTGCATTAGACGCGCACACAGGAAGACACGCATCTTGGCTGGCAGATCAAAGACATTACGGTCAATGGGGAAATGCCCACAAAAATATGCAAAATGCATTTTTAGGCTTTTCCATTGAAGTCTATGGGGCCAAACACACTGCAAAATGCCCCAAAGAAGCTCAGGAACTCTTTTGAGCGACAGGCGTTTTGCAGCTTGCGACAAAAAGCCTAGGTGTGAATGGGGGCTATTGAAATTAATGTGCGATAAAACATCTAGGTGTTCCCCCCAGGCTATGGTGTTTTTGACGGCACGGCTCAATAATAGACTCACTGCCCACGTCTAAGATCTGTGTTTGGGACAAAGCAAACATAGATATCATTGAACTGCGGTGAAGCAGCCGAGGTGATGACTTGACTCTGTCCATCTGCATAGTTGAATACGCTGGAAGACTATCTTTTTCTACCTCTTCCCTTTTCTCTCCCTTTCTTTTCTTCTATTCCTCTTTATCAGTTAAGTTAAAGTGACATTAAACCCTCAGATTTTTTAACATACACCAATATTGTAATGTGTGCCTTACTGTAATCCATGGTTGTTTCCCTTCTCTTTGCTGCTCTTCCTTTTAAATCCTTATCTCTTCTCATGCTTGGGGAGAACTTCCCTTTGCAGCCGAGTGCCTCTTCCTGTAGTGCTGGCTCAGGTTGTGAACCTACACACAGACACCATGTTTCCATTTCAGAGACAAGAGCAGCAAAGAGAAGGGGAAACAACCATGGATTACAGTAAGACACACATTACAGTATTGTTTTATGTTAAAAAATCTGAGGGTTTAATGTCACTTTAAGTTATGCTTAATAGGCATGGGACAGTGAATTATTTCCAGATGAAAACAAGACATGTTAGTTATAACAGAAATGCGTATATGCATTGATTCATAAAGCTGTAAATCGAGATAGAATTGCATAATCCGCCCTTATTTACCTATTGTCAACAGAATCTCTCATTAACTGCCTACCGACCAAAACTTTTATATGTATGTATGCCTTGTTTTTATCCTAAAAAATCTTTCATAAATAAAAAATAAACACAGAGTTTTGTAGTGCTTTTTCTGCCTGGAAAAAAAAAACACACCAAAAAACCCCCCATTAATTTCTATGGCCATGTTCACATCTGAGCGTCTTGTCGCAGACTGGAGCAGTTTGTTCAGTTAAGCTTTGAAAATTAAAGCTATAAGCTTATTAGTTGCCATGGGCAACTGCTCCTGTTTTTGTCTGCTCAGCAGGACCCGAAGGGAGGGGGAGCGTGCAGCTACAACATACAAGCGATCGGCGGCTATAGAGCCGCCGATCGTTTGTATGTCAAACACCCGGTAACGGCTCCTCACAATGGACGTGCTTTTTCTGCCCGTGCGCACAGAAAAAAAAAGCCATCTATTTACGGCAACCGGCCAATGTAAGTTTGCCGTACATCCGTTTTTTCACAACGGGCGGAAGTCAAGTGGTTAAATAAAATTAAGTCCCCTCGCGAACGCACGCATACTAACGGAAACACAAGTCGGGTGCACCTACATATGAAAACGATGACTGCGCTACACATGTCAGGTATCACCCTGTGCGCCAAACAGAGCAATAATTCTCGGACCAACATTCATGGCTGACTCCAAACTGATGCCTGGGCGTATGTATGTATGTATATAGATAGATAGAATTTTATTTTTTGTTCAATCTTGGTGTGTTATTTTAAATAAAACTGTGGTTATTTTATTATATTGGCTTGGAGTTTTTCAATTCAGATTATTTTAAATCCATAAAACTAATTAAAATGTCTAATATAATACAAACAATTATTTAAAAAGAAATGAAAAAGGTGGGAAAAAAGTAATTTTTCGTTTTGGCGTGACAAATTCTGCTGTGTTATGTGCGTTGCGGTGCCATTCATTTCAATGGCACCCCAAACATGCTTCCAATCTGCAGAGTTACTGCCCACACTGGAGCGCACAGTACTGCAATGCCGTGCGTTCCAATGTCGTGCAATTACAAAATATTGTGCATGCAGTTTTATTATGAAGTAAAATTTATGTTTGTAAAACTCCATTTGTGTATTTTAAATAAAAGATGGTATTTTAAAAAAAATCTGATTAGTTGATTAATAAAAAAAAATTATCTTCCAACTAATCGATTATGAAAATGATCGTTAGTTGCAGCCCTATCAGCTTTCCATAAACATATACAGTAAATTGATCTTACTGACTGGCCTCATAAAAAAAACACTGCAAGATCTCTACCAGATCTGAATAATCTGCATGTTTGGTACCAATGCCAAACTTTCAGAATACATTAAGAATACATTAAGCTAAGAGATCTGGCATAGAAAATGGTGTGTATATATATCCAGATGTAGTGATTTCAAAATTACTTCAACCACTGCAGCCACTGGAATACCTATACAGGAGATGGCACTCTGCATGGTCAGATTTGTGTACCCATTAGATCTATAGTTATCCCTATGTCTGGGGAATTAGCTTATTTTGCCTAGATGAGCCCTAGAAGACATGGCCCAAATATAATCAGATTGGTTCTAAATGACCAGAATGAATCAGAAGAGAGTGTCTAATTGTTATTTACCTATGTTCAAAAACTGCACATTTTGTTCACCAAAAAATCTATATTAAATCCTCTTGAATTTTTTGCCCTATAGGCTGAAGAAGACATAAAGTCAGATCTGTATATTCTACTTTTTCATGTAGTTCAGCGCATCCCAGAATATCTTATTCTCCTGCAGGTAAGACTAATGAAACTTATATTTTATATATAAAATACTAGGATGTTTATATTTAAATAAACTATTCATGTGATCACAAATTATAATTAAAGGCCATCTAATGAGAGAAAAAAGTTCTTCTAAAAACGCTATTTGCCTGTCTAATGTAAAGGCTTTCTAAGGTTGAAAAGTTATAGCATTGAAAAAGTATTTTATTAAAAAGACAATATACATTAGATCCATTGTCAACCATGATAAACAATGCCACGTGACACGCCATCACAAGCACGCAACGTCGATCCTCTCACACTACACTCAGGGCGTAAATTACATTTCCCCAACTGGCTGCTGAATATCAACACACTGGCCGGGTATTCCAGATGGCATCATTAACCAAACATGGTCATGACGTCAGCCAGCATCCTTGGGCCCTTTGTTTACATGCTGGCTGGGGAAATGCATTTTGTAGCGAGTCATCATATTTGTGTTGGTGGGTCAAAAGGGCATGTCTTGGTGCCCCCTTTTTGTCTGTCAAGCCAGGGTACATGCCTGGATAAGGGACTGATATGAATTTTGGGGAACTCCATTTTTTTTGTGTGTGGGGCCCCCACACTTTTTTTATTGCCTTTTTTTTTGTTTTGCAGAGCAAGTGGTCTGTTTCGTTTCAGGGGGGCACATAAAAAGTGGTGTGCACCCCAGGCAAAAAATAAATAAATCCAGATCTTTATCCTTAATAAGGATACCACGCATGATAGTTCTGCTTCTGCTAGACTCCCAGCACAACTGACATTTTCCCAATACTGCTGGAATGTTAAAAACAGCGATGGCTGACATACTTTGTTCATTGACTTCACCCAGCATCTCCTATTTACTATTTGCAAAGTGTATTTTTTCGCTACCCTTCTTTACAATATAAAATGAATAATTACAATTATAAAGCAAGTGTAACTTGATTCAATCTAGTTATATGAAACAAAATGTCATGCTAGGCTACCGTTGTGTTATAGTTAAATATTTACAGTGATTTATGATTTTGTTTTTTCCCCCTTTCTGTCCAGAATATTCTAAAGTACACAGAGCAGGACCACCCAGATTATTACTTGCTGTTGGTGTGTGTCCAGCGCCTACGTATTTTTATCTCTCACTATAGTGTTCTGTTCCAGTATAACGAGGACCTGCTTATACAGAAGAGGAGAAAACTGAAGAAGTATGTTCTTAAACTTAGATCAAATATAATGATCACTGCTATATATCTTTTATTTATTTGTATAAAATGAAAATTATTCTAAATCTTATCCTTTATCCTATAATATAGTATTATATTATAGTATTAAAGCCTAAGTGACACTTTAGCTTTATCATTGGGGGATTCTGCCTCCTGTGTTTAACTTAGCTGAACAGAGCATTCTCTATCAGTGAAATCCTACCCCTCAATACTCACATCCATCTTTCCCATGTATCCTTCCCCTAAAGCATGGACCTGACTTTGCAGTATTCATGCCAGGACAGAGAGCTCACTAGCCTGTGTAGCACTCACCACCCCAAAGGAGCCGCCAGAATAACGCGGGCCATCACTAGTTGTCTAGGGGTTTTGGTCTTCAACTGCCCCCATTACCATTTAACTGCCCTTTTTTTTGATGCCGGGGATATCCTGTTTGATAAAACATGGGTGAGGTCTGGAGCAGACGCCGATGTTTTATCAAAGAGTACATCCCCGGCATCCTTTCAGATGTATATGTTTCTGCCTGGCCCTGAATGATCTGTACATGTCTCAGTGCGGGCCCTGCAGGAGACAGGGTGTCCTTCCAGTGATCAGGATCAGAAGGCTGCACGGAGACAGAGCGGGCAATCAGGTAGGGAGGGGGGAAACAATAGAGTTAAAGTGACATTAAAGTTAAAAAAATGTTTCGCTCCCCCCAATGTTAAATTAAGCACTTACCTTAAATGATGCCTCTTAATCCGATCATGCGGTCGCCCGAGCAGTTTCGGATTTTCAGACGGGAGCGCGCGGGAAAGACACAGGTAAGTTTAAACCGCTTTTAAAGCGCAAAGCACAACTTGAGACCCCACCAGGCCACCCAGACCCCGCACAACCCACCCGAAACCCCACACAGCCAACCTGAGACTCTGCACAGCCCACCCGAGACTCTGCACAGCCCACCAGAGACCCCACCAAGCCACCTGAGACCCCACAGCCCACCCGAGACTCTGCACAGCCCACCTGAAACTCTGCACAGCCCACCTGATACTCTGCACAGCCCACCAGAGACCCCACAGCCTACCTGAGACCGCACAGCCCATTTGAAACTCTGCACAGGCCATCTGAGACCCCGCAACCCACCTGAGACTCTGCACAGCCCACCTGAGACTCTGCACAGCCCACCACCCAGGAGCAAGACAGAGTATCAAGTTAGGGTCCCATGGGACCACAGAAGTTTTAACATGGGGATAATGGATGAAGGTAGGAACCAAGGAATATTAGGCCAAGGGCTATATTGAAACAAGATCGGCAAGGTCAATATCTGTCCCTTAATGATGCTCAGCACTAACCAGAGGTCCTTGGGTAAAGCCTGAGAGACTTACACCACGTGAAAAGGGCCTTTCAAATGTAATAATACACTTGCAAGCTCTCAGCATGGTAGGAATGTCCTCCTCAAATGGAACATGCTCTCTCAGTTCCTGGGCTACAGTGGCCATGCTATTAAAGCCAGTGATTAAGAAGCAGGATGTAGAATCACCATTTTTGGGGGTGGGGTTCCACCTTAATGGCCTGGTATGATTGAGGGGGAACCCCACACACTTTTTGTTTTTTTACATAGGTTCCCTCCTAAGATTCCTACCAGACCTTAAGGGTCTGGTATGACTTTAGGGGGAACCCCATGCTTTTTCTTTTTTAAATGGGGTCCCTCCTAATATTCCTACCAGACCTAAAGGGTCTGGTATTGTTTGGAAGGGGGGAGCACACGCTTTTTTTTTTTTTAAATGTAATCTTTTTCTTAAAAGTTTTTTTTCTCATTGATACATGTCCCCCACATGTACTGAATCCCCATACCCTTTTTATGGCCAATAACTTGCATATAAGCCTTCAAAATGGGAACAATTGATTTTCAAAGTTCTAGCCCCATAGACTTGCATTGAGTTCAAATTCAAACTTTTTCCATGTTCTGAAGTTCGAATTCGAACCGAACACGGGGTTGTTCGGCCTATCACTAATTATAACAACATTTCCCTGCTTCCCAGATATTTCTATTTGGGAATGTAGGCAAGCCTCCTCCTACTCCCCTATGTTCGGAGGTTTATAACACACACCCACAATTAGTTTACAACAAGCTTCAGTCTTATCTTGTTCTAGCCACAAAGACTCAACACCATTGCACGTCTCTGTCGTGAGGTCATCTCTTATGTGCACAGTTAGATTGTTTTTCACATACATGCAAACACCTACCCCCCTTCTACCAACCCTGTCCGTCCTAAACAGGTTGTATCTTTGTACATTAGTTGCCCAGTCATGTGAGCTGTCTAGCCAAGTTTCTGTTATTCCCACTATATCGAAGTCCTCTTCAAAGAGCATACGTTCAAGCTCCTCTAATTTGTTCGCTACACTTCTAGCATTCGTGTACATACATTTTAGATTGGTGCTAGTGGTTAGAGTGTTATTATTGCTCATTCCTGAAGTTCAACTAATTTCTTTGACCTCGGTACAGTTGATAAATTACTAGTTAGATTGACTGGAGAGAGCCCTCTGTCCCTGCTTGTATTATTGTTTAGTTTTTCAGTTAGTAGTCTAATTCATGGCAAATAATCGAATCATTATTTACTTTCTCACAGTTTAGTATGGGAAGATTAAAATGAGGACAATAAATAACACAAACTGCCTGAACTAATTCTCCTGGAAGACACAATAATAAAAAGGCAGACTATCAGTTCTGTATAAAAAAAAACACCACTTTTTCCCCTTTTTCCCAAATTCTTTCTACATTTTTCAGTCACTTAAATACAACCTTTAACCTCTTGCCGTCCGCCCGTTAAGAAAAAACGGACGGACGGCAGACTCCCATCCGCGGGTTGCCATCGCCAGACGGCATTTTTTTCCTCCTAGCACGCGCGCACGTGCAGGAAAGACCTGCTCGTTACTACAGCCGTTAACGGCTGTTTCACATACAACCGATCAGCGGCTCTATAGCCACCGATCGGTTGTATGGCGTGAATTTCGGAGCGCCCCCCCATCCCAATCTCGAGTGCCGCCATCTCCCCCCTCCTGACCCCTCACCTTTAATCCCGGGGATCCGCTAGCCCATCTGCGGCCCAGGACCGGCTCGGGAGGGCGTCAGGAGGAGGAGGGAGGGAGTCAGCTCCTTGCTGATCTCCCTCTGTAGTGTGAATGCAGAAGTGATGTGTATTACATCACTTCCGCATTCACCTGTCAGTCATCTGTCAGTCATCTGGCTCCTACTGCCAGAGAGAAGAAGCTGATGAAGCAAATCTGTGCTTCATCAGCTTCTTTTGGGGTCTCCAGGTGACATTAGGGGTATCTGCCTTTTTTCCATAAAGTTTAAGATAATTGCTGCCTCTGCCTTGCTAAAAATGCTCTGGTATTAGTGGGGACATTAGAATGCAAGCAACCAGTGGCGTCACAAGTGGGGTGCGGGGGGTGCGGCCCGCACCCGGGTGACACCATTGGAGGGGTGACACCAAAATGACTCAGTCATTTTGGTGTCACCCCCCTCTGAAAAGTCGGGCGCTCGGTCATGGACCAAACGCCCGACAGTATCAGGAGAGAGGAAGGGACCTTGCGGCATACCTTATCCCGCTGGTGACTGTCCCCTCCTCTCTCTGCCGGCATCCATCACCAAGATATGATAAATATATGTAATTCTAGCAGATTGCATTATATTCTGTGTATTCTGTGTAAATGTCATGTTTGCACTTTTGAGTTTCCCGCCGGCTCCGCCCCCCGCTGTGACGCCCAAAAACGAAACTGAAAGCCGAATGCCGGCTTCGGCCAGGCGCACACAGCAGAGGACAGCGCCGGCTCGTAGGGACAAGGTAAGTGACCCTTTTGCGCAATCCTGAGTGTGGCTCGGGGTTACCGCTCTTGGTACTGAAAATTAACCCCGAGCCACACTCGGGAATACCGCCAGGGAGGTTAATCTATTTTCTTTTCAATGTGAATCTAATATTAGAAAAATACCTCATTATGGCCAATAGCCTATCTCAGTTTCAGAATTGGGGTCTAAATAAACGCTGAGAGAAATTAAAGCTTAAAAATGAAGATCAATTTTTGTTAAACTAAGGGAAGGCCTTTTATATTGAAGGGATCTGTCCAATCTTCATTATGAACTGTGTTATTTAATGAAGAAATCCAGGAAAAAATGTATTAATCCTTGAAGTGGGTCTACCCTTACACTGCAAGGGTTACCTGCTAATTTTTGTCTAGCTAAAAAAAAAAAGTTATACTCACCTGAACCAAAGAACCAGCTTGTTCTTAGACTTTTCCTTCCAGCCTCTCTCCCCCTCCGCTGCAGCGGTCTAAGGTCCTGTAAATCATCACATTCTATGTGTATAGACATGAGGATGCTAAGGAACATTCCAGTGCTGCAGCGAAGTTGACAGGCTGGAGAGAGCGCTGTGACAGCCGGCCAGCTAGGAGCTTTGGGTGAGTATAACTTTGTTGTTTTTTTAACCTAAACAAAAATGAGCACTTAATACATGGTATTCTTCTTTAAATCTTGCTTGAATATTTTGCCTTTTATTCATCTGTGTCCCAAATACTGTATATTAGTATAAAAACAATGAGGGTAATTTATCAAAACTGGAGCAGAGAGAATATGGAGCAGTTGCCCATGGCAACCAGTCAGCATCTATCTTTTATTCAAGTTTTTTTCAAGCATAACACAACAAACTGAAAAGAAAAGCTGATTGGTTGCTGCTCCAGTTTTGACTAATTCCCCCCAATGTCTGTATGTGTGTATATAAACAGCTTTTTACACAACACATAGAACTGTTCAGTTAATTTGATACCCCTAAAAGTGTATTAGAGACTAATGTACCATGTATGATACAGACATGCACAAACATAGAGCCAATTTTTGACAGGACCTAGTTAGCCTAGTAGTATGTTTTTGGTATTGTCGGAGGAAATCAAAGCACATCGAGAGTTCACAGACATGCAGACACATGTAAATCAGACCAAGCACTCCAGCACTACATGGTCATAGTGTTTAGCCAGAGTTTTGCTATTCCTTGCTAGAAATATTGATGCCTGCAACATTTTACTAAGTGATGCTCTGCTTTTCAGGTCCTCACTGATTAAATTGTACAAAGGTCTGGCATCACACTGCACTGCCACAAGCCAAGAAGTTCCTCATGGTTTGACTAATTCAACAAATGTTAAGGAAAATCCAACCCAGTCTAATGAGACCCTACAGACTTATTCATCGGCACCAGACTCCAACACACCAGTTATGTAAGCTGCCTGAAGAGAGATAATACTTCATTCCAGGAAGCTTAACCAAGAGTTATTTTCAACTGCTATTTTTTTTAATAGAATATAGAAAAGGTGTTTATATGACTTAGAAAATGCATGGGCACAAAATGCTGCTTACTAATTACACAAAATACATAATATAAAAAATATATCTAAATGTGCAAACCCATAAAACGATAAAAATTAGCTAAAACATAAAGTTATGAATATTTGCTGTGAAGTAAATTATAATATATAACGATATTGGTGATTTGTGTGTGCAACAAACTAATACAACACAAGTTCCTATTTTTAACAAATGGAGAAAAGAAAATGGAAAGGAAGTGGAGTTGTTGCCGCTAGTGACCAGTAGATTGCTTATATCATTTTACCTTACGGCCAATCTATGATAAGTGATCAAATCCATATTTGGCACACATACTCCACATTCTTTGGGCCATTATTATTTTTAAAAGCATATTACACATTACAACTTGACTGAGCAAAGCAATATACTTATGTATATGATTACCATATGAAAATAAAATATGATTTGTCAATATATCACAAACTGTGATTTTAGTATTAGGCAGATCCTGGTCAACTGAATTGGCACTGGCTTCTTTTATCTAGCAGAAATATCACTTCTGCTGTTACGTATGTAATGTGATATAAACTGGAACTACAACAAGAAAAGTGACCATTTATTAAGATAACAACTTTGTGACTGAAGTGCCTCCTAAAGGTTTTGGTTCACTGACATCAAAGATGCTATTAAACCAAAAGACCCAACCTGATTAAGGGAATACTACAGGGTATCAAATTATATACACCGTTGGAAACTACACTGTATATTCTGCATATGTAAACATTTCATCTTTATACAAAAAGATGCACTGATGCTATAATATTAAACATGCACTGACATGGTAAATAATAAATGGAAGAGACCTAACAATTCATCAGTAGTAGCATCTACCCCCCATCCCCAAAGGTTTTTTTTTAAATAATATAACAAACAGTGGGGGGAATTTATCAAAACTTAAAGTGAAATTAAAGGCTAAAGTCCCCCGTCCCCCCCTTACAGTGCTACAGTAAGGACTTACCTTAAATTATGCCTCTTAATCCGATCTTCTTTCCTGTAGCTGTCTCTCCAGCGTTGCTGCGGGTCTCCGATCCAGCGCTGACTCCTCTGTCCTCCTGTTTGTCCCACGGAGTCTGTGCGGGTGCACGCTGCTCAATATACTTACCTTGTGTCTCACCTCGTCTCCCGGCCGAACATCTGAACTGCGCATGTGCCCGCCCCAAGATCCTTTGAGGCCGCCCAAGAAATTTTCAGATGTTCGGACGGAAGTGCGCGGCGGAGGCACAGGTAAGTATTAACCCATTGAAAAAGGTTTTGTTTTTTTGGAATAACTTTGCATATATCTACTACTTGCTAGCAGTAGATATATGCAAAAACCGCTGAGGATTTAATAACCCTTTAAGCAGCTGTGCATGGCAACCAATCAGCTTCTTTCTTTCATTTTCAAATCCTAACTGAACAAACTGAAGAGAGAAGCTGATTGGATGCCATGCACATCTGCTCCAGTTTTTGTCTGCTCCAGTGTTGATGAATTCCCCTCACTGTGTATTAACAACTAAATTGTCATAAATATGTATAAAACTTTAAAATGTCCACAACATTTGTTAAGAAAGTATTTTGTAACAGCTTATAATAGACTTTAACAAAACAAAGTGACTCTAAACTCGGGACTTAAATCTTAAAAATGCATTCAAGTACCCTAACTATTAACAAAAATGTAGCCTACTTGTGTATGACTTGGCTGTAGATCCTCAAATCATCTCTTAATTGGTGCTGACACTGTCCTTCCTTCTAGGGGGTGGTTGCTTTTGTTCCCCATGGTCTGTGTTGTAAATTAGGCACCACTCCAAGCTCGCTCACGTGATAGACTATAACTTCAATACAAATTAGCTCACTAAGATCATAGTTCATCCCGGGAGCCTTGCCATGGCTATTTAGGCAAATTTTACAAATTTTAGGTCCTTTAGTAGTCAAATAATCTAGCTGGGTTTTTTGGTTTAATAGCAAAGTAACACTTTTTTGTAGCGTCAGACTTAGGAGGTAACAATAACTTTATCCAGGTGTTCATAGGGGTTTTAAAAGGCTGGGGTTCATGCTTTTATTTAAACTCACACTTACCAAATAATTTTTAATTACCTTACAACTTTGTAGTAGCTATGTATTCCTTATAAAGTCCCTTACAAAGTGTATAACGCTAATTGGATAGTTTGTTGGCTGACCTATTCGTTTTTTTTTAAGTTTCCCAAGAAGTTATACAGGTGTATGCAGTCCCCAGGGAGTTGATAGGCTGTGTTCTCTTAAAGTGGAACTACAGACCAAACTTATTATTTTGGTTTTAGATAGTATAGAAAAGCAAGAACTTCCATTATGTATTACCCATAAAGATTTCCCTAATTTCCTTTTGTATAATGTTGTTTCTGGGACAGTGAGTTGGAATGTCCCCAGTGGGGCAAAATACATTATTAAAAAAATATAGAGGTTCTACATTTTCCCTATTCTATCTGAAGCTAGAAAAACAGTTTTAGCTGATGTTTTCTATTTAATAGCATCTGAAAGCAAACATACATACAGCTCTTGTAGTAACAATGTTCTTTACTATGTATTATTTTCAAGGCATCTGGTTCCACATCTGAAAAAGAGCAGACAAACTCCAGTAGAAGCTTTACAGCCATTAAAGACATCAGAATGGGAAGCTGAGGGGAAAAAACATGACAGGTCAGAGAACCTATCAGTTCCAGCTTCCTTTAGCAGGACAGAGCAAGAAGTCAGTCCAATTGTGGCCCCACTACAATCTATTCCAGAGATGGAATATGAAGGTAATCCTTCAGTGCTTGATATGGAACAATCAATACGAACTACAGAAAAAATTCTGCCCGATGGTACTTTTGCAACTAACTATGAACAATTTGAGTATGGTGATGAAATTATAGGAGTGTCCACTCCATATGAAGAAGAGACATTTCAAAACAGACCTCTCTTTGAGTCATATTCTGCAGGTTCCTCTGAATCTAGCCTTGATATTTGCTTTTTGAAGCCAATCAACTTCACGCTTGAATCCAACAAAACTGACCGTTCTCAGCAGCCTTTGGCAAGAAGCTGCATTTCCCCTGTGAGTAATAGTAGCTACAGACATGAAGGAATCCATGGGAAAAACAAGCCTCTGAGTCGATCTCTTAAGGAGTTCCCTCGCAATCAAGAGGCACTGGCTACCAGGATGTACAGCACAAGAAGCACCAATGCCAATAGGATGCAGTTCAAGCAGGATCAAAGCACCCAGTACCATCCTTTATTAGCCTCCTCTCACATCTCCCACAGGCACTTTTACAATCCTCAGACGCCGCATGTAGATACCAGATCCCTGTTAGGGGTAAGAAGTGAGAAATTAACAGCTATAAAAAGCTAATTTATTTTGCAGATCATTGTATAATAATAACCAGTGTTTATTTCAAATATCTTTTTGTATATTAAAAATGAAAGAAATGTGTATGATTCACTGATTACCAATTACTAGCATCATATTATTTTATTCCTCAAGACAGGGGGAAATAAAACAAAACTTTATAATATTAATATATACTATTGCAAGGTATTGGTGTATATTTAGCAATAACTGAATATGCAATTCACCCAACATTCACCCCAAACATGTGGTTAACATTCACCCTATGTATTAGGCCAAATTAGTGAACATTTTCCCAGTAAAAAAAGCACTCCGTGAGTTTGTGCAATGTGGATGGGGGACCTCTTCTTCTGCATTCAATATTTGATATGGGGAATGCCATTGGATACAACTTGAACTGCATGATAAATTATAGTAACATTTAGATTTCTTAATGGATTATTAACCCTGTTTGATTTACTTTTAACTCCTTTCCAACACATACAGTGAACTGGTTAGGAGTCTGAGGGAACCCTAAAACCAGTTCACGAGGAAAGAAGAGACCACCTATTTGACCCCCATGGGTGGCAGGTAAGTTGAACATAACCCCCCTCCACCTTGCCAACACCCCACCCATCCTGGGCACTGGAGAGCTGAAAAGCCTTATGACCATCAACAAGGGGCATGCTAGCTGGTATCAGCATGGCAGGGGGGCTGCACACTCGCCACTCTTGGGAATAGCAGTCTGCGTGCCTGGCATACCAAGGTGGTTAGCTGTGGAGAGGGGGCACACTGTTTTTTTAAATTGTTTACATGAGAATACATTTTAAAAAAAACACTTTTAGATCTACTGGTGCTGAAACTGTGTATAAATATATTTGCATCACTATAGGGATTTTCTTTAGGCAGATTCACCTGCAGGTTAAATACCTTTGTTTGTATTTTTTGGACAAGTGAGATTCAACAGCAGGGGTAGCAAACCACCGGCCCCTCAGCTGTGGTGAAACTACAAATCCCATGATGCCTCTCTCTTCGGGAGTCATGGCTGTGAGAATGTTGCAATGCCTCATGGGATTTGTAGTTCCACCACAGCTGGAGGGCCGGAGGTTTGCTACCCCTGTTTAACAGCTTTTCACCAGCTGCTACATTGGCCCCCTGCGTATTTATCATATTTAACCTATTGTAAATAGGGTGAATGTGTTTCTGGAATGCCAGGTGAATGCCATCGAATAATACTTGGATGAATATTAGTAAAGGATTCAGTGTGTGAATTTCTCAGTAAATTCTTCATGAATAGACCCCAATGTATTTCATATATAAATTGAAGTTAAAAGGGCAGTTAAGCTGTAGTTGCTGAAAAATCTAAAGGTACCTACATTCATAATCTAAGATTTGCCTATTTACCTAGCTGTGGTGGGATTGGGCAACACCCATATTTAAGGAGACCTTAACCTTTGCAGACACCCCTGGCTGAGCCTTACTGGGAGAGGCATCAATTGACGGGGATGATTTATCTGTCTAATACTATTGTTTTCCCCAGTATTAAGCTGGTGCTGGGAGCCCCTCTCTCTTTCTATAGAATTATACATGCACATTCAGCATCTTTCATATGATCACCTGAAGGCTAGAGTCTATCTGCTTGGTAAACTGCCAGGTAAAGTTAGTATATAGCCTAAATATCAGCAGGTAGACACTAAATAGAACATAGCATATTTGTACATGTAAAGCATGTTAAAATGAAAATGACTTTTTATGTATTATTATTGCTCTTCCTATAGGAAATCCACATGGATGGAAATGCAAAATTCTATCAAAAAGATGAAACTGAGCAAACATCATTCAGTGATCATCATCCCAGGTCAGATCAGAAGGGAGGTTTCCGAAGCTCCTTCCGTAAGCTGTTTAAAAAGAAGTGAGTTGAAAAGAAAGTTTTCTGAATGGGTTCCATGCGCTGTAGGACTGAGATTTATAACATTCTATAATGTATGTTTTATACTTCAAGCAAACAAGTATATGTCAACAGCATATATAATCATATAGACCAGCATCTGTAACCAATTTGCTTGAATTTTGGGTGGCTGGATCTCATCTTTTAAAGATTTGCCAAAACACTCCTATGGCCAAATTTAAAATCCTAGCTCCACCCAAAGTGGATTATTAAGGAGTTTATGGATTCCATTAGTGTTCTATCTAAAATATGCTATTTTTTTTTAATTCTTTACCTTTAAAGATCCTAGTGGTAAAGGATGGCTCCCCACTCCATCAAATGGAGTAATATGCTTAGGTGGTTATCTGTGCTAAAAAGCTGCATGTTAGGAGATATGGATCTTTGAAATAGTACAGTTGACAACCATTAACAGATGTGTTCTTTATATATACCATCTGTATGGCACTTTGCGCCTCTATTTCTACCATTTTAGGTGATGTCTGCAGTTTACTCCTTACACTGTTACTGTATACTAAAAGCCTTTAAGTAAGCATGTGGTTTGCTCATACAGGGAAAAGCAACAGGTTCAGTTTAATGCCCCATTCCACAGTAGCACACACCTACCTTCTATTTTTTTTCCACATTGCTCTGTGCAGCTGCTGGGAGCAAAAGTACAGACTTCTGTAAGCTACAAGCAGAGGCGGCTCTTTAATTAGGCGGTCGCCTTAGGCCTCGCGCTCCCCGAGGGCCTCACGGCCGCCTAATTTGCCCTGCCGTCACTCTCCGTTTGACAGCGACAGGGCTGAGAGCTTATCTGTTTCCTCGGTCCGTCCATTCAGCCAGTGGTCCTCTGGAGCTCCGCCCACCAGCCACTGGGAAGCCATCTCACCCCTCCCATCCACCGTGCGAGGATCCCAATCTGGCTGGGAGGGCGGAGTTAAATCTGGCTGGGAGGGTGGATCGTCAGGGGCAGATGGACGGAGACGTAGTCAGCAACGGCTCGTCCTGCACGCTCCCGCCCGTGAGACGCTCCCACCCGCGAGACTGAGCGGGGCCTCATGTTTAGGTTTCGCCTAAGGCCTCGCAAACTCTAGAGCCGCCTCTGGCTACAAGGCATTGAAATAGCAGCTTACACAGGGCTATTGACTTCCTGTTTGACTTTGCTAATTGACCCAGTGTGCTGACCCAGCAACAATTCGCAAGTGACAAGCTCTATTCACTTGTTCCTACAGTGTTGCTTCCTCTATGGGCAAAGCAAATGGTCGCATTATGTAGCATTATAGCCAGTGAGGGAGTAACATAATAGAAGCCAGTGAATAGGTTTTTTTGCCCAATCAAGCAATCCTGTCACTGGTGACTTTTTGCCAGTGACAGGATCACTAGTGTGACATGGGCCTTAAATTAAAAATATTTCTTGATGAGCTAAGACAGTGAGTAAAAGAATAACTGGTATTCCTTGCTGTGCTCTGAGATTTTAGGTACTGTGGAGTAGACGGCAAGGAGAAGACAAGTGAGAAATCATCCATAGACCAGTCTCCAACAAGGCAGGAGATCTTCAGAGTTCACTCTGCTCTTATCAATGAGCTTGACCGTGGGACAGCTGTATAGCAAGAAACTTGGAGAATATGCAGAGACAAAAAGATCCATGGTAGCCTGTCAGCCCCTGTATTTGAAAATAAAAGCTGCTGAATAGTCTAGTGCAAGAAAACATTCACCATATCCACACAAGAACAATTAGGAAGTATAAAGCTTTATATATAATTGACTTTAGTTTTAGGCATCCTGGAACTCTCTTTAAGGGTTACCAAAACTTTTGAATGTAACAGAATTACTGGTATTTATATGTTGTTCCAATATAGTAAATAATTCAAGAACCATGAAGTTTTCATTTCACAAAGAATTTTAGGGCAATCACTCCATGTATGGCCATCAAAAGGCTATATGTATTAGCTCTGCCAAGGTGTATTCTGACAAATATGTTTGGATTGATGTGAACGTACAGAATCCAGGCAGTGTGAATTGTTGTTTTGATCCCACACACCCTCTTTTGTTATCAAATTTAGACAAACTGTCTCTAACTGATGGTAACTTTCAAATATGTGCACTTATTGGTCCAATATTATGGAGAAAATACGTAGTAACCATATACTCATAGTCTATATATTATTGGGTGTTGTCATGTGAAATATTGGAGGGCTCATTCAGTGCTGGCACTGCTGCTAGGAAAACTAGGCAGTTGCCTAGGGTGCAGCCTCAACCAGCTGCTTTCTCACACTCCACCGGCTTTCTGATAGGTTATCCCAAGATATGTGAGTGGTCTTCATAAAGATGGCAGAGGAGGGAAGACAGGTTGATAATGCAGGCTTTTCCCTCTAGTGTTTAGAGCCCCTCCCCCCCGTGACCTCAGCAAGGGACTGGCCTTTGTTGAAGCCAGCCAATGAGCTGTAAGGGAGGCATGGTCGGCTAAGTGGGCCGGTTTGTGCTCTATTGGCCGATTCCTGCGTTTTACAATTCACAGCCCACCCGGGTGTCACAGTGAGAGGCGTGTGATGGGGCTGAGTCATGGACATGTGTGCTATTGGAGGACTGGGGACACCATGGAGGGGGCATGAATCCTATGTGCTGGGGACACAATGTACTATATACAGTAGGCTAGCCATATCTCAATTAATCAAAGCTGAAGTACCTGGTAGTTGGATTTCTTGATGTGTAGCGTAGACAAGCTTTACTTCTCAATGCTGTTAAAAAAATCTATTTAAATTACCTAGAGGAGAACAAAAGTACCTAATAATTGCAACAAGAAATTGCCTTGGTGAAAGCAATAGGTATTTTGGCAATATAACATAACAGACCCGAGATACCACGTTTCCCCCTCACCCTCAGAATAAATGTACCAGTGGTTGGGAGCTTGGGATCCAGGTTTAGTTTTTTTTAACCAATTAGCTTGATTACCAATCATGTGCTTTTTATAACAGCTATGACATTGCGATCACATGCAAGTTACCAGGTTTGTTTACAAATAAACCTCTCCTCTTGCAGAGACCACAGCAGCCTGAAGATGGCAATATGTTTCCGTTTATCCTTGTAAATAGTACATTTATTTAAAGAAGAACTCCAGGATGCACATTTTTTTTATATATTTAGGTCTCTCTCCAACAGAGGAAGAAAACTGCTGGAACCATGTATCATAAATGTGCTTACTTTTCTTGTAATTCTTATTTTTAGCTGCCAGTGATGTCACATCCTCCTATTTACAGATCAGTTGTTCCTGCTGCCAGGGAGAGGATCTAGGTAACCAATGCGTGCCATTCCTGGCATAGAGAGCGGACTACATATCCCATGAGGCATTGTGAAATAGAGGTGGCAGCCGTGTATAGGCAGAGCTGAGGGTGGAGAGGGGGAGATCTACAAAGTGCTGTATCTAGAGACAGCTCTCTAATTGGGCGAGTTAAGCGGTCGCCTAAGGCCTCGCACTCACGGAGGCCTCGCAGCTGCCCAACTCGCCTCCAGGGGCTGGACATCGTTACTCCCCCACCAGGAGAGGAAGACGGCAGAGCACCTGAACAACAGATGATCTATATGCACTGTAAGTCTCTGTACTCTGCGTCCCACCCCTGCACTCTGCGGCCCCACCCCTGCACTCTGCGGCCCCACCCCTGCACTCTGCGTTCCACCTCTGCGTCCCACCCCTGTACTGTGTTTCCCACCCCTGTACTGTGTTTCCCACCCCTGTACTGTGCGTCCCACCCCTGTACTGTGTGTCCCACCCCTGTACTCTGTGTCCCACAGTTGACCTCCGCACTGTGTCCCACCTCTGACCTCCGCACTGTGTCCCACCTCTGACCTCCGCACTCTGCATCACACCTCTGACCTCCGCACTCCAACCCATACTGATGCTGCTAAATTTGGTCTGGGTATCAACGCAATAAATTACTTACTTTAATGTGCATTAAAGGATTCAGGAGAGAAAGTTTTCCGCATTTTATAGTCAAACATTTGTTGAATTCAAGGCAAATTTAAAATATGCAAATTAATGCAATTATGCATTCAGTTATCAATAACTAATTGTATTTTTTTTAAATGCAACTGGTGTAAGTACATAGTTTGACTTAGTATGAGCCATATACAGTCCCCTGTGCAGAAACACTTTAGGTGAGGGAGGGGTAGCACTAGAAGCCACTCGGGTGTGTTGCATGCAAATATGCTGACATGGAACAAGTAGAAAGGAGAAGAGAGCACACTGAACAAAAAGATCACCACATTAGTCTGCTGCTCCTTCACTGTCAAATGACAAGCAGGTTCTCGGCTCATCTGCCACTTCCTACAGCTCTGTTGTATGCAGGCAAGACATGAAGCTCTTCAGCACAATGTCAGGCAACCAAGAAACCAAACAGAAACTAAAAGTGCAGGTTAAAAAATAAAGGAGTTTATAAAAAGTGGCAATAAACAAAATAGCAAACCATAGGTAAATGCAAGACATAGTCAGAGCCGGTCAGAAGCCAAAGCAGGTAGTCAGCCGTGTCAGGTCTAAGAATGCAGGGAGCAGGATGAATAAGTACAATAGCCGGAATCTGGAGCCAGGACCATACGAGGAGCACAGCAACTAGCAGAGCACATTTGATAGGTCTGAACAAATGTATGGGCGGAAATCAAGTGAAAAGACTGATGATTATATAGTGAACTGGTGACACATCATCACCGTGAGACAGGAAGTTGTCAGGAGTATGCCATTAGTCAAAGAATTATGAAGTTTACGAGTTTTGGTCATAAGAGTGTCAGAAACACTGCACAGAAGCTAAACCTGCAGCTCAAGTGGACCAGGAAGGGTAAGAAACCCTGACATACTGTTATATATCAGCCACTATGTTGTGTCTGCGCTGTAACAGCACTACCACAAATCCTGGATAGAGAGGCAATGATGTTGAAAACTCCCCTGTCATTGCTGATCCCTACTAGTCCACAGCACCCCTGCAGAAAGGCTGGTCCCTCATGCCATTGTGTAGGCACAATAACTAGTGACACACCTGCATACAGAAATAGTAGACATCGGCAAGGACAGTAGAGTTCTCACCTCTTGTGAAATGTTTTGCATTGTATCAGGCCTGGCAGACATCTAAGGTTTGGGTGCAGAGTTAATGCTGGAAGGTGCAAACCATGCAGAGGAGCTCTTCTTTATGCAGATACCCCAACCAGCTTCATCAGGGAGTACTTTCGTCATCTCCTTAGAACTACAGTGGCCTTATGAAAAGATTGGTCACCTGGAGCACAGGGGTGACTTCTCTTAACAGGAGGTTTTGAGTAGATTTTGGCTGGAGATCTACTTTGAAGTCACCTTGAAGAAACATGAATTCTACCAATGGTGACTTCATTTCTCAAAAGTGCTAGCTGCCACTCTTGCTTTAGTGCTTTGTGTCACTGACCTGGTTTTCTTGATCTGCATTTGTCTTCTGGGTCAGGGACACAGAACATATTGAAGCCAGTGGAGCAGCCTAAACACCAGACAACTAGCATTTTCAGAAGGATATCAGCTGTGGTAGCTACCATACTTTATTTCATATCAGGTAAACTTACTATGTAATAATGCCTCCCACTGCCCTTCTTATAAGTGACCCTCATTCTGGTATACATACCTATTTCTTTACAGAGAATATTTAGTTTACTCTCTGGTGGGTTCTGCATACAACAATCCAGAACTGTATAAGAATAATTGTTTAATCTGTTTTACACACTCCAGGATCATTATTATATCATTTTCTTCAAGCTCAGTCTACTGTATAATATATATGGCTACTGTAGTGAACACATATGACAAAACCATCTATCACATGTCCCTTGAAAATCGCAGAGGTATTCTGTTCTGTACTCTTTCCATATTCCACATACAATTTTACCACTTTGACAAGAGTGACTCATTTTTAGTATTTGGTCACTTGACGTAATGGTAATTTTGAGTAAAATATCATATCTTTCCTAAAACAATTTCTCTAAATGGTTTGAGCAATAAACACTAATTTGCACTGAAAAATAACAATTAGTCCTGGTGGAAAAAACATTAGAATGTGTCCAAATTCATGTTCTTCCTTGACAGCTAAAACATTTCCATTTAAAAGATCTCTTGAAATTATCGAAACTATGATTGATCATTTATCATGATGGTTATGGTCAACATGACACTGGATGTACATGGCCTGAAAAGAACAATTGATATGACTGATTGAACAGAGAATGCTTAATGTTTATCCCTCCCTTCCTTCAATAAAAAACATATATTTAGTTTAATACGGAAAAAAAAATGCATGTAAGTATTGCATATTTAGTATTTCCAGTCAGCAGGTGGAGCTCTAGGTTCCTTGTCACATGTTACTATGTTAACTCTAACTGGCATTCTGAAAAAAACAAAACAGTTATTTAAATAACTGATTAGGTGACACTAAGATTACATGCACAGCTGAATAAATTGAAGGAGTGTCTTTCTTTCTGCTGTGTAGGGTTCCTTAAAACATAATTTAAGACAATCATCTAGTCACGTAATCATGTGACATGTAGATGTGCCTAAATACTGAAATCAGTCATTGCATTCAAAGTGTTTTGTTTTTTTTGTTGTAGAG